ATATTAATTTAATCGTCTAGTTTGACGACTGGTGTTTCTTAATCTCTGTCCGCGATGGTAGCTAGAATATTTGTTAAGACACGACAGTCGTATCCTAGGAATTCCGAGATTCCGTCGCGAAAGATAAGACGATCAGGTTCTCTCGCTCGTATGAGGATGCCAGTCCGCACGGGTGTAAAAGTCATAACTGAAACAGCTGTCCGACGCCGGAGATACATAATGCTAATTAAACAACAGATAATTTGTCCATTACTATTTTCGCAGCCGGGTAGCGCGCCACCTAAACGACTGTGTCCCGGTTCTATTTATACGAGCACGTTTTCGTTAGCAGTTTCCATGAATCAGCCGCCGCAGTGCGCGGCCGTCTCATTGAAACGCGCGCGCAAAACGGCTGAATGAGTTTCGCGGAACCGTATAATGGAAGCGTAGCCACCTCCATCGTGACGATCTCTGTTCGTTCGTCGCGTTTCCGTGACCGTCGAGATGCCGGACTTTCATACCGTGAGATATCAGGGGGGCAAACCGTCTGGCCGTCGTATCGTACAAAGACAGTGGCCGTTGTCGTTTGCCTAATGGACTGCGCGTTTCTCGCAATCAGCTGATTATGACACGTCTGTGACAAGATGCCACGTGCTTCAGTCACCGTAACCGTTGTGTATCAGTGGTTTACTACCATTAACAGTTTTGGCTCTTTTTAAGCCTTTTCCTTTCGACTCTGCCCGAAAGGAAAGTGTCATTTGTTAAGAACGAATCCGGTATCTTTATATCAAGCATTAAATATCCCGCTTGTAACTCTCTCGCATTAGCCACGCTGTTCGATACATGAGATACGAGCCATCGGCTTATCGGCGCCCTCGTTCGCGACCGGTAAATAGAAGACCGTGGTCAATCGGCGTCGTCGCCGGCTCACAAAGGGAAAAGTCGATCCACAAACGCGCCGGTTCTGGTTTCACGATTTTTCGCTCTCGTCACTGGCGACGGCGATTAGGCGAGTTTTCAGTCGCGCGACCAAGTAGAACGGCAGCAGGTGACGACTTCATTCGTGCTGGGAAATACTGTTCGAGCGAGTTGGCGCGGTACTGGGCTTGTTAGAGGATGCGGCCCGGATAATCGATAATAAATGAGACGACTTCGAATCGCGGCTACTTATCTGCCCCAGTCAGCTCTAATGAGATTAGAAGTCGTTTAAGGAACGGTTATGTACGCGACGCGAGGCCTGCCGGCAAAACCGCACCCCGATTAGAGTCGAGTATAACGACGCGTCCGTTTATCGGCGACTCTTGAGTGATCGCGACGTCTCGCGAATCTGGAACGATACGGCAGCTTATACAGTCGTAAGCGCGACGCCCCCGTGTTCGGGGCAAGAAACGATTCCGTTCCTTCATAACGTGGAAACGTCGCAGCGCAACGTCTTACACCTAGGCGGCGTGACGTCGACGATTATTCATCGCGTATGGTTGCGAGTAACAAATCGCCAGTCAAGTGGCAACACCGTCGGCAGCTTGCGCAAGAGGGGCGAGAAAACAAGATCCTGGACCGAGCAATAAAGAGAAAAGCGGCAGCCCGGTGTTGGAAAAGGAGGGAAACGTCTTAGGGGAATCGGTGAGAAGGAGAGACAGGGTGAGGCGTACTCCTCCCACGTACGTCTAGATGCGCGTCGCCAGAACGTAAATTTAGCACTAACGCATTATGCACGCTCGGGCTGCGTCGCATTGGGCGTGCGATACCAGTAACGGCGACTTCTGCGTGCCCACTGTCTCGAAACGGTTGTAACGTCGCGCGGGATGCAAAAAAGAAATCAATTTTTATTCTATACAGGAAACAATGAACGAGTTATAATTTTCATGGATCTGCAGACAAAACCACGGAATGGAACGATTAAAACGTAATGTGACATGAAAGTGAAGGAGCGAGGCTGCTACGAGGGGAGCGAAAATAATAGAGCGGTCCATCGGAAATAATCGTAAATCAACACTAAATAACGAGGCGCAAGGTCGCCGGTACTTTTTAGCTCGAATCGCCGGTGAGAAATCTTAATTAGTCCTTTGTATCCCTGGCCGGGTGGCTCGCAATGGATTTGATTAATGCGCGCTTTACCGCGGTGGCACCCTTTGTGACGCTTAAGAAAACACAATTTACACTGGTCCCAGGTCGTAATGCATGTTTTGCGCGCGTCGCGTCGCGTTCCCGTCGCTAGGCTTTGTGCCCGGCATTGAAATCATTATGATTTAGAGATCGGCACGGCGGCGCGAAAATTGCGTCGGTGTAAACGCAATTATGGCATTCAGTCGCCGTGGCTGAAGCTGTCAGCGTGATGAATCCCGCGCGATCAATGAGCAAGATAATAGAGGACAACGTGAATCGGGCTTTCATCGCGGGACCCGACACGGGCTGTACGAAGTTGAAATTGGGCTCGAGTAAATAGTAGATATCGGTAAGGCGCAGGCTCGTTATTCTCGGGCGGTCCATTACGCGGTGTCGGCCGCGGAATATCAAAAGGCACATCGATCTCGCGCGGATCTAATTTACCCACTTCCCGTCCGAGACCGAACGCGTATTTTCATCTGTTATTTTCCAACCGGTCCAGTCGGGTACGCGCGCGTACCAGTTTGGTCCCACAATAGTAACACGAAGACAAATGCCAGCGATAAAGTCACGCGAATTGATGTGCGATGTATGTACAGTTACCACCTTCCCGCTTTAGCGATATTTCGTACGGTACTTACATTATGATGCTTGTTTTGCGTTCGGGTTCTCTCACTACCACCCCTATCGGACAATTTACTAATTCTAATAAAGGCACTTACACCGTATCTTCTGTTCATCAACGTTTCGATTTACAGTTTTCTGAACGAACAGCATAAATCCCTTGCAAGGAAAAAGCAGACGTAATTAGCGGGAAACGGTATAATTAAATGCTGTGTGTTACACACGCGGCAATTAACCGTCTTGAAAAAATTGATTTAAGGGAATCTGGTTAACGGAATTGAACGAAGTTATAAAGTATTATTAGCTGAAGGCTGTAATCGGAATATAGAAGATAAGAGAATCGCACAATGCACGACTTTCACTCATGAGCGATCGTAAATCCGTTTCACTGAGGCGATCGTAACTTTTTCATCTTTCGATTAGCGTTGACCGCTCGCGATAAGGCTGCTCTAACGATTTTCGATCGCCCGATAAAACGCAGGTGCCGCTAGCTATCTTCCGACGCCGCCATTAGCCGAAGCTAATTTATGTAACTGCGTTTACCGCGTCCCGTACAGCTAGTATATCTCTGCTATCGGACGTACTCCGATTTCTCGCGGTCGGAAAATAAATAGCGAAAATCGAAAATCATCGGCCCGTTACACACGATCGGTAGATACGCGCGCGTAGTGGATACGATGCTCGTTAAACTAGATTCGGAGAAAAGAGAAATAAAATGGTTGTCCTGGCACACGGTCCGGTAATCAGTGCCAAGGTAATAAAACAGGCGCCAGGAGCTATCATCGTCGCGTACTTAGGTGATAATCACCGATCGCGGCGATAACCCGGCACGCGGCGATCCCGAGCAAACATTTGTTATGTAAATGCGAAACGTTTACAAATGGGTCGCCGGAGCTTATCGAGGCTCGACAGCGTGACGCGAAGAAATTCGCGTTACTTACTGCACGTCTGAAGAATGCTCTGTACATACAAAAATCGGTGGTGCGTGGATTACGAGGCACCGGTATTCAAGGAAGCTATCCGACGGCCGATCTTTGAAGAACAGACGTCAAAAGTTGCGAATAGTGCCGCGAGTTACGAGTTGTTACGAGCCAGACTTGCAGTCACAGAATCGTTCCGAGACAGTAACACGATCACGAACAGGCGTCGGTGTGAATCTCGCTCACCGATCTCGCGCCTACTTGGGATAATTGCGTCGAAGACGGGGTGATTAACTGACCGGCGTGACTGTATGGATCGTGGGTCGGCGATCTATTTCGATCTGGCCACCGTTTTCCCCCGAGAAAACGAGATCCACGAACGGCTCCTTATTGTTGCATCTGATTTCCGGCTTAACGGTCGTTGAATCAAGGAAACGAACGGCAATCGTCTCGGATCGAGTAATAAATACAAGACCAATTGCGTAACGTTCGCTCTTTGGACAGTCGCGATACGACCGAGTGCTCTCTAGACACCTGTGCGCAATAAACGTTTACGTTCATAATATAGAAAGCAATACGCCGAGAAATATGTATGAATGTATTTCTAACGTTACATGCACTTTGTCACATGGAATAATCAAATTATGTAACGCAGTGATGCAATCGATTAAATTTCGGTATTATATTATTAGCTAGTGTGAATCATTCTCGGTGGACCATCCAAATGACTGCTTCTTATTTGGAGTTCTCAGTAATTTCGCTGTTTTCCGTTAGTAATTAATGACGTCTTAATTTCTTATTAAAATCCTTATTTATTCTGCGTTATACGTATTCTCTGTGGACGAGAACCTAAGTTTCATGCCAACAATTTGGCATTATAATATAATGATCAATTCATCAAGAACTAAATGAATATTGTAACGCAAACTGCAAATATTAGTAGGAAAAATTGCTCTGCTATTCTCAAAAGGATTAATAATATTTTTATGCAATCCCATATCAGCTTTTGAATGATTTGATGAAAAACGAAAGTAAAATATAATATTGAAGTGACATAAAAGTGAAATATCTACAAAGAAAAGTAAAAAATGGCAAAAGAGTAAGCAATTCAGATCGTGCGAGCGAATAATAGAAAGAAGAAATATAAACAAGAATCGAGTACTTCCAAGGACCTGCTGGGGGTGATTCCGGAGATTGCGGACAGAGCGTACGCATCATTTAAAAAAAATCGTTTATTCACGGCTCAACTATATAACCACTTTTTTTTGCGAGACACTTGTTCGTGGGCGTTGGACGAACTTTGTTTACGTCGTGCACGATTACGTGACCTCGCTCGCGTTCAGGCGTCAGTTGTTCGCGGTATCCATCACGAGCAAGTCCTTTCGTTGTGCGCGTAGCTTTCCAATAATTCGTACGCGTCGCAATTCGCATTCCGGTTACAGTCGCAGTTTTATTGTACGCGAGTGACGAGTGCTGTGGTAATATAATGCGCGTAGACGCTCTGAGATAATTGTGCGTGACAATAACTTTGGAATTCGGAAGACCCGACGATAATTAGCTACACGTCGTCTTGTGATACCAAATGGAGTGCATCTCATTCTACGGTGGTAAGTTTGAGTTATTCTATATATAACAATGTACAGTATGGTACACATAAAAGCGTAATAGTCTCGAATTATATGAGTACATCGTATTATGGTATATGTATACTTATTAGAGTACATAGGAATATATGTGTATGTAATAGGTAACTCAGATGAAATAAGGTGTGACCATATTCTATATAGCCTGTAGTGGCAATCTAAATTCTCGTTGTCTTTCTGTATTTCTCTACACAATTTCTTACTGCTCCTTCTCGCTTTCCGTTCTTGCCTAGCACTTTAGCGTAACCTATACGTAGTACGTCGCATTCGTTTATTCAAGAACGCAAGCCAAACGTCGGATCTGACCCTATCTCGGCTTTGTCTTTTCTCCTCTTGTTTTTTCCTCGTTTCCCATTCCTCGTTGGGGGCAGAGTCATCGTAAATTCCCATCGTTCCCCGATGGTCGCGCGATGCCGATCAGAAACGGTTTGCGCGGCTTAAGCGCAGTCTATTTTGCCCAATCGTCAGGAACCGTGCTATTTTCGATTTGTTCGACGCGCCCCGCGCTATTCTCTTCTATCCATTCCGCGAGTAACGAGTAGCGCGAATCGTGACCAGCTTCCTGTAGCCTCGTCGCGTCGCATCGCGTCCCGTCCCGTCCCACGGAGGATCTAATGCATTCTCGGCTGAATGGAGAGCGTGGAAGCGATTTTCCTCGGCCGCTCAATAGCGTCTTGCGTTCGTTTTGCTCTAGACACGAGCGGCCGACGCGGCCAACAGGGGGAGGACGACGGGCGACGACGTAACATACGCGCGATGCTCCCTACGCCGCCAACTCGAATAATTCACATTGTCCGTCGGGAATGGTAGCCAGTCCAGGGCTTTCTTTTGCCAATTATTTCGGGACGCGCTGCTGCGAGGAAAGAAAGCCCCGCAGGACAGAATAGATCGCGCGATTTTCTGCCGGACTAATTTAGCCGCGCGCGCGGTTCAACCGCCACCGCCACCGTGCTCCTCCGCTTCTGCTCTCCGCTTTCTTTTTCACCGCCGCTTTGTCCTCATCTCACTGTTCTGTCTCTCGCTCGCTCGAGGATAGACCATCGGCTCTTTCTCTCTCCGTCTTCGTCTCTTCTTTTCTACGTACTGGTAACGCCTCGGCCTCTTTCAACCGCTACGCGCTGACGGATGCTCCCGTTCCTTTTCCACGATGGTAGCCAGCTCGATTATTCCCCTCATTAACGCTATCCATATCGGTATTCCTCCTTTCTCGTTCGACCACACCCTTGGCAAGCAAACCGATATGTTATATCCTCTGTCGTACATTGCTCATTGCACTCGCGTGTCATCGTCGCGTGCACTCGAACCTTTGAAACAACGAGAGGAACTGTTCTGTTTTCGACGACCGATTGATCGTTATCGGTAATATATAAAAAATAATATACGATGTTTGTACAGTATTTTTAATTATTATATTTAAATATTAACAATAATCGGTCACCGCGAGTCTAACTTTAGACAGTCGATTTAAGGCTCGTTTATACTATCGACGAGCCGTGAACGAGTTGACTAGAATTCAGACTCGAGTCATGTCGCGAGACGTCGGAATTTCAATCGAAATCGATGAATCTACCGGATAACGTTAGATTAATGACGACACTTCGGCTCGTTCCGGTTCGGAGCGACCACCGCCACTTGTCTGCTTCCTTTTTCACGTTTTCGTATTTCCGGCTTGATATCTGTTTAATGACTCGGCTGTGATGCTCCTCGAGTCTTTACTTTCATCTTGGAATATTAAATTTGACGACAGCTACTTCATGATTCATGATGAACAGTCACTTAGTGTCTTTTCATTAGCTCGGTGGACATGTAATGTCACCTGTGAACGAAGCAGTTCCTGTAGTTTGAAATATTATGTATTTTAATGAAATAATTCATCCGTTACTTTCACACGCTTTTAAATAAGTTTATTATCTCAGATGTGTTTAAGATTGTGAGTTGAATCATTTCGCTGATATCAATTTGTCTTTATTAATTTTTGTAATAATTGTATTTCAATATTAAATACTATTTTAATTTTCATTCTGATTAATATTGTTACAAAATGTTTCAATATTGTTACTATAAATGTAAGTAGAATGCACTTAATTATTTCGATTTCATTCATAATACCGTGAGACAACGTATGATAGAAAACAAATTAAGCTTGAGAACGATGTTTCATACGCAGCAGTCTAATATCTTTCTTGTTTCCTCGCACAGACTTAGTCTAATTTAGTTGAGCTTCGAACTACTCCGTCAACCGCTTTGCACATAATTTTCTCGTTACTCCAATCGTCATTCTCGCCTTGACTCGCCTTGTACCCGCCCCATTTACTTGCCATGCGCCATTAGTCATTTTGCAGCTCCCCTTCATCCTTTGTTGTCGCCGTGAAAAAGAGTGGAGGATACTTCTTTACAAAAATAGACATTTATTGT